GGTGAGGGCGGCTGGGAGGCAGGTGGGTGGACGGAGCCTCGTGAGCTGGGTTCTGGGACCCAGACATTGTCCTGGGGCAGTGGGCCCCCAGGAGAGGGGACGGGGGGTGCAGCAGGCCCTGGCTCCCTCCAGCTGGCCGCCTGTGGTGGTCCACACCCCGGCCGGCCTTCCCTGCCCTCCCCGCCCGCTCCCGGCCTGCGCCGGCCCCCAAGCCTGGGCCCGCGCCCTCACCACAGGAAGTCGGAGTCCTGGCACGGGCACACCTGGGCGGTGAGCGCCGCCGTGAAGTTCCGCCCGTTGACGCACCACGCCGCGGCCTTCCTCTTCCGGAAGCTCCGGCGCTGGCCCATGAGGCAGCCGTCACCCTGCAGCGGCAGCGTGGGGTGGGGGTGGGGGGGTTGGAGCCCTTTCACAGGAGGGGAGACTGAGGCCAGGAGGGGAGGGGCGCGTCTGAAGGCCCGCGGGCAGCCTCCGTCCCCTCCTGCCCACAGCGCGTGTGACAGGCCAGCTGGGACGGAGCCCAGGGCGGGTGATCAGGGCGGGCTTCTTGGAGGAGGTGCCACTCCAGCTCCGTCCGGGCTGGAGGGGACACGGGCTGCTGGACGCGGGCGGGGCCCCTTTGAGTTCCGCAGGCCCCAGGGCTGCAGGCCCCGTGCAGGTGCTGGAACCAGCCACGGGCTGGAGGGCTCCTGCGGACGCACAGTAGGTCCGCAGCCTGTGACCCTGCGGCTGGCCTGCGCCCCGGAGAGGCCTCTCGGTCCCACCAGACCTGCTGCCGTGGAGACGCGTGCGGAATCATGGGCTGCCCAGCCCCCACAGGGCGTCAGGTCATGCCCCACAGGTGCCGTGTCCTTCCCAGGAGCCGCCCCCTGGCCCCATGCACACCTGACTCCCCGGTTGGCTGGTCCCCAGGGGCCTGCGCCCCAAGTGTGACCGAGCCCCGAGCAGCCCAGGCTCCGAGAAGGGGCCAGACATGCCGGAGGCCTGGTGTCCGGGGCTGGGGCAGGAGAGCCGGGGCCGCGGGGGAGAGGGGGAGATCCTGCTGCTGGGGGGGGGCTGCGGAGCCCCCCCCGGCACCGCCCACCTGCAGGTCGGTGAGCTCCCAGGCGCCGTAGTCCTCGGCGCGGCAGGGCCGGGGGAAGGACGGCCGGAAGTCCACCTTGACCAGCTCCCACTCGGAGCGGTAGCTGATGTGACCGAAGATGCTGGAGGCGAAGGCGGGAACCTCAGTCCCCACTGGCCGGGCCCAGCCACGCCGCCCTCCGGCCACCAGGCCCACACTGCCCCCGGCCCAGCCTCAGACCCAGCACCCGGGCCAGGCCCGCGGGGCTCAGGGCGCCCGCACCCGCCCACCTGCAATTGGGCCTCACTGCACAACGCGCCCGAGCGCCCTCACAACGCCAATAACGACGGCAACAGTAATAATACGGTGGCAGCGGGCGAGGGGGCGGGGCCGTGGCTGCGCCTCTCGGCAGCCGGGAGGCCTGGGCAGGGAAAGGTGTCCCGAACAGGGGCAGACGGTGGCCACTCTCGGGGCTGGGAGGCCGGTGGGGGGATGAGGGAGAGCGAGGGAGGGGCCTGGGGTCAGCGTTGGCCTCCTCGGAGCAGCGGAGGCCGGGGCGGCCCCCGCACAGCCCCGGGGGGAGCCAGCCCGGCCCGCCCCGGGCACTCACGTGATCACCAGTGTCTCCTCGCCCGGCTCGCTCAGCAGCCCGTCCACGAACACGGACGTGTCGGTGAAGTTGTAGGTGCTCCACGTGAGGCCCTCGTCCGTGCTGAACCTGCAGCGGGAGCACCAGCGTCCGCGGGCAGCAGGGGCCCCCTGCCCAGCTCCACTGCCGCCTGGACCCGCCCTGCCTGTGCCCGGGGACCTGTACCCGGGACCAGCACCGCCAGCGGAGGCGGCTGGGAGGGCAGTGGAGGGAGTGGTGTGCCAGGGCCACCCAGCACCCAGGCCCCACGGGGCCCCTGGCTTTGCTCTCTCTGGGAGGCCAGCAGCAGCCACCTGCCGGCACCAAGCGGCACCCACACCTGCTCAGCAGCGACACCACGGAGTCAGGGTGCGGCCAGAGCTGCCCGGCCGGGGACAGCAGCTCGCTGCCTCCCTGCGCAGCGGGTCACGGTGCCGCTGGCTCTGAGTGGGAAGCTCTTTCAGACTAAAGTGATACCGGCTTCCTGGCTGCTCCCGACTCTGCCTTCCGGATGCAGAGTTCAGACCTGCCCTCCCTGCTCCTCACAGCCCCTCAGGCGTGTGGAGCCGAAGGCAAACCCTCGCCCCCTGAGCCCACGCTGCCGGTTCCCCTGTCCGGCCCCACCTCCTCCACTTAGATGATTCCTATTGATGCTGAAAAGGCACCTCTGGGGAGCCCTCCTTCCTCCCCTGTACAGCGCCCCAGGCCTCCCGCGGGGTGCTGCCCTGTGGCCTGTTTCCTGGTCCCCCCACGGCCGGCCCAGGCAGCTGCGGGGGGCTCAGTGGGTTCCCCACCGGGAGGCCGCCCGCCCCACGTTACTTGAGGATCTTCAGGGGGATGGAGCTGTCCTTGACGGCCACGATCACACCGCCGTGGTCCAGGAACAGGATGTGATGTTCCTCTTCGAACACCTGCGGGGACGGGCGCTGAGGGTGGCCTCCGGGGGCAGCCGGCCCCTGGCCAGGCCGCGCTGGGCTCCGGGGCCTCCGGGCCGTGCCAGGCTTTGCCACACCGCCCACACGGGGGGACAGGTGGCGAATGCCAGTCTCCCGACCAGCGAGGGCGGAAGGAAGGACAGCGCAGGCAGACACTGCGGGGGAGAGGGGGGTGGGGGGGGGACCCCCATGAGAACCTCGCCAGGGAGGCCGAGGACAGGAAGGCAGGCGAAGGAACGGGATTCGGAAAAGCGGGCAGGCCCGGTGGCTCCGTGGCTAAAGTCACCCTGTGAGCCGGGAGGTGGCCGTTCGGGTCCGGGGCGGGCATGTGTCTGGGTGGTGGGTTCGGTCCCCTGTAGGGGGCGTGCAGAAGGCAGCCCAGCAATGGTTCTCTCTCAGCATTGACGCTTCTCTCTCTCTCTCTCTCTCTCTCTCACTCCCTTCCTCTCTCTGAAATAAATAAAAAATACGTTAAAAAAAAAAAAAAGAGCAGCTAGGACGCACACCCTCAGTAACAGAAACCCTACTTGACGTTAGGCTAGCGCCAGTGCTGCCTCCTCCAGGAAGCCCGCCTGGTGCCAGGGCACTAACGGTTCTCCCCGGTTACGCCCCACGGTGCTCACTGCTGCCGACTCCAGGGCCGCAGCTGCAGGGATCAGAGGACGGGACGCTTGGTGTCCTGTGTCCTAACCATTAGCTGGTGTCCCGTGTCCTAACCGTTAGCTGGTGTCCCGTGTCCTAGCCGTTAGCTGGCGTCCCGTGTCCTAACCGTTAGCTGGCGTCCCGTGTCCTAGCCGTTAGCTGGCGTCCCGTGTCCTAGCCGTTAGCTGGCGTCCCGTGGCCTAGCCGTTAGCTGGCGTCCCGTGGCCTAGCCGTTAGCTGGCGTCCCGTGTCCTAGCCGTTAGCTGGCGTCCCGTGTCCTAACCATTAGCTGGCGTCCCGTGTCCTAGCCGTTAGCTGGCGTCCCGTGTCCTAGCCGTTAGCTGGCGTCCCGTGGCCTAGCCGTTAGCTGGCGTCCCGTGTCCTAGCCGTTAGCTGGCGTCCCGTGTCCTAACCATTAGCTGGCGTCCCGTGTCCTAGCCGTTAGCTGGCGTCCCGTGTCCTAGCCGTTAGCTGGCGTCCCGTGGCCTAGCCGTTAGCTGGCGTCCCGTGGCCTAGCCATTAGCTGGCGTCCCGTGTCCTAACCGTTAGCTGGCGTCCCGTGTCCTAGCCGTTAGCTGGTGTCCCGTGTCCTAGCCGTTAGCTGGCGTCCCGTGTCCTAGCCGTTAGCTGGGAAAGCACGCTGCCTGGGGCCTCGATAACAGACAGACTCCGGGGTGAGGGGGGGGGGACAGACCATCCACACGCATTAGCTTGGGCGTCTGTAAAGGGGGCTTCGGGGTTTCCAAACGCCCAGCAGGCTCTCAGGGCGCTGGCCCCCGGGCTGTGGCTGTCTGAGCCCCGGCCAGCCCCTGGCAGCAGGCGAGGGGCAGGCGTCCTCAGCGCCGTCTCCGTATCCTGCCCCCCTGCCCCCTGGCTCCCAGCGCCTCCCTCAGCGCTCCCGCTGCTGTTTCCACCGCCCGGGGCGCCGTGAACAGCGCTCCCTGCTGGCCTTCGTCACATACGTGCTGGCGGGAGGCACATGGTCTGGCCTGAGCTCCCCCTTCCTGACCTTTGTCCCACCTGGTCCCCGGCCTCTCCCACCCCAAGTCAGCTCTGCGGTCTCCTCCCTGACACCCTCCGGTGCTTGGTGCTTACGTGGGTGCTCTCCTCTCCTCCCGGGCACCGAGCTCCCTGCACCCCCATCATTTGGGGGGGACCAACCCGAGGGCAGGCCCACACTCAGCTCTGAGCTGACAGTCCCCCCTGAACCCTGACACCCCAGTGTGGGATCTCAGACAGGGGCCAGCACCGTGCACGGGTCCCCGAGGTGAGAGACCCTGTGTGTGTGTGTGTGTGTGTGTGTGTGTGTGTGTGTGTGTGTGTGTGGTGCTGAACTAGCCGGCTCAGATGAGCGGCAGCTGCTGACCTTTGGGGACGCTCAGACACACGCCAGGAGCTCCGAGAGACGGACCCATTATCACATGATAAATCGCGTTCGCCCTTTTCCAAACGCTCAGCCATGAAAAGCCGGCCCTCGATCAGGGCTGCGAGCTGTAGTTCGCCGGGGACCGACATGCCTGTGGGAGCCCCCCGCCCCCCCCCCCCCGGAGAGGGGCTGCGGCTGGGGTGCTGGGGGAAAGGGGCCTAAAGCCCCAGCTTTCCGGCGACGGGAAGGGACGCGCACTCCGGGTCCAGAGCGGCTCCGGAGTGTTCAGGCGGAAATGGGCCCCCGGAAGGTGGCAGCCGCAGGCCTTGCTGCTGGGGGTGGGGGCGGGAGCCGGGCCGGCCCCCCGGCTCAGTGTGGGGCCCCCAGGCTCAGTGTGGGGCCCCCCGGCTCAGTGTGAGGGTCCCCAGGCTCAGTGTGAGGCCCCCGGCTCAGTGTGGGGGCCCCCCGGCTCAGTGTGGGGGCCCCCCGGCTCAGTGTGAGGGCCCCCCGGCTCAGTGTGGGGGCCCCCCGGCTCAGTGTGGGGGCCCCCAGGCTCACCACGGCCGCCTAGCCTCACTGCGGCCCCAACCTCCTCTGCCCGTTCCTTCTTTCTCCTCCCTGACTCCACCCAGCAGCCTCCCTGCCGGGACCCGGGCCGGGACCCCGGGCCGTCCATGCCCCCACTTCTCAGCTCCGAGTCACACTCAGCCGATGCCTTGGCGTCCCCAGTGGCTTCCTGCGGGGACCGGCCGGCACCTCCACCCCATCCCCCGTCCTGGCATTCACTTCCTTTGCTTCCACGTTCACGGACCGTGTGTGACCGTGTGTGGCCGTGTGGAGCGGAGCCAGGCCCAGCAATGGCCGTGGGACAGCTGGCGGCTGGGCCAGCGGGGATGTGGCATCTGCTGACGGGAGCTGTGTGTCCGGCCGCCCGCCCACGGGAGGGAGGGTCACGGAGCGAGCTTGGGTGGGCGCGGCCCCTCCCGCCGCCTCACCTGCCGCCAGGTCCTCCCGCAGTCCGACGTGATGTACATTTCCTCCTTGTACTCCACCAGCTGGGAGCCCAGGTTCCCTGGGCCGGAAGGAAGGGGCGGGTTGGTCTGGGCCCAGCTGGCTCCCCGTTTACCACGGTTCTGAGCCAGACAAGTCCCCGGAGGGCCCTGTGCCTGGTCTAACCGCCCCCGGCAGAGCCACCCGCCGGTGCGCCCTGTCTGTGTCCGTTTGACCATGACGGGCCGGGTGACTGCTCTGCTTGGGCCGAGTCTGTGGTTCAAGGGTCAGCCTTGCCCCAAAGAAGCCAGCCCCGCACCTCCGGCCTGACAGCGGACCCGGTGCAGGCAGCGCCGGGTCTCGGGGGACCCCGGTGATGAGTGGGGTCGCAGAGTAAGAAACGGCAGTGGGTGCGGTGTGAGAACAGGGATAAAGGCCTGTCTTTCTCTTTGCCTCTGCCACGTGGGAGAAGCACCTGGAACTAAACTCCACGACGGCTGGCTGCCCTGATTCAAACAGCCCGTGTTCCAATGGCAAGACTAATCACTCTCCAGGCTGCATTCCTGCCCCCCCTCCTCCTTGCTGGGTTACAACGCAGGGAGAATGAGGGGAAGTTCCCTTTCCCTCTCCCCTCCCTAACTTCCACTCTAAGAAAGCCTTGCAGGCTTTGGAAGATGCTGGTAAGGACGCCTCCCTAGGCCATCTGGCCAGAGTAAAACAAGCAAACTTTTCAAGGATGACCCCCTGATGTCCGCTCAACTCCATCCATCACCCACCCATCCTTCCATGCACCCACCATCCTCTATCCATCCCACACACCCACCCATCACCCATCCATCCACCCACCCACTCACCCATCAATCCATGTATCTGTTCATCACTCATCCATCCTCCTACTGATCCACCCATCCCTCCCTCCCTCCATCCATTCATCATCCCTCCCTCCCTCCTTCCCTCCCTCCCTCCATCCATCCATCATCCCTCCCTCCTTCCATCCATCCATCCGTCATCCCTCCCTCCCTCCCTCCCTCCATCCATCCTCCCTCCACCTTCCCATTCAGCCAACAGGTATCATGTGCCCTCCTGGCCCACGCATTCCCCCTCCTGGTTTTCCATGACAGCTGCCGTCCAGGAGCTGTCACTGCCCCTCGGGACACCCATCAGCAGGTGCTCTGTCCCCGCACACGGCCAACAGCCTTCCCCTCGGGGACGGAGCTCCCCGCGTGCCGCTGCAGCCGCCTCCTACCTGCGCCCATGATGAGGCCGGGCGCCGTCTCCTTGGTGTGCACGGTGCCCGACACGTAGGGGTTGTCCGCCCAGAGCAGGTGCAGGTGCAGGTGGCAGTCGGGCTGCAGGAGGAGGAAAGCCAGTTAGCACCTGGCGGGGGCGCTGTCCCGGGAAGGGAGGCCTTAGGCCGGGCACACCCTGTGGCTTGGGGGGGGGGGGGGGAGGCAGGGCGGGAGCACCTCCAGAGAGCGCTGGAGACAGAGGCTCTGAGACCGACTACGGTGAAGGCGCTCAGTGTGGCTGCCGGCGGGGCCACGTGCAGTGCTGGCCACGGAGCGGGACCCCGGGCCTGCAGAGCCCTCACGCACGCTCATCCATTCACCACGGCCGCCTGTGGCCACGCAGCCCGGCAGCCGCTCAGCCGTGGGGCAGCCGCGAGCCGCCCTCGGGAGGGGCAGTGGCCACCGAAGCCCCGTTCCTCGGGCATCGGCGCCCGCCTCGCCCGCAGCTGCCGGGCCCTGACCCGAGGGGGCCGCCCCGCCAGCCGTGGCGGCAGCTTCGGGAGCGGTCCACGCAGACGGGCCGCGGTGAGGCGGTCCCCGGCCGTGGCGGGGCGGGGCCTCCCACCAAGGACACCGGACCCAAGCTGCGCTCTGAGCCCGCCCGGCCGTCCCCGCGGGGGTGCGGCAGGCCGGCCGGGCCAGCGGCCTCCAGGGCGAGGGCCCCGCGGTGCCCTTCCCGGCACGGGGGGGCCAGACCCTCCCGCTCCCCAGAGCAGACACCGAGGAGGCTGCGTCCCGTGTCCTCCCGGACTGTCCCGCACCCGCCACCCTGCCTCCCCCGTCACGTCCACAACAGACCACAGGCCGACGAGGGGCAAGGTCCCCGCCCGGCTCCGGCCAGGGCTCCGGCCAGAGACCGCGGACCTCAACCCATCAGCCGCAGCCAGGGCTGCCCGAACGGCTGCAGCCGGCGTGCGTGCGTGCGTGCGTGCGTGTGTGTGTGTGTGTGTGTGTGTGTGTATGTGAGTGTGTGGTATGTGTGTGGTGTGTGTGTATGGGGGTGTGTGTGTGTGAGTGAGTGTGTGGTATGTGTGTGTGTGAGTGTGTGTGTGGGGTGTGGTGTGATGTGTGTGTGGTGTGTGTGTGTGGTGTGTGTGGTGTGTGTGGTGTGTGTGGTGTGTATGTGGTGTGTGTGGTGTGTGTGGTGTGTGTGGTGTGTGTGGTGTGTTGTGTGGTGTGTGTGGTGTGTGTGGTGTGTGTGGTGTGTGTGTGGTGTGTGTGGTGTGTGTGGTGTGTGTGTGGTGTGTGTTGTATGTGTGTTGTGTGGTGTGTGTGGTGTGTGTGTGAGTGTGATGTGTGTGGTGTGTGTGTGTGGTGTGTGTGTGGTGTGGTGTGTGTGGTGTGTGTGTGGTGTGTGTGTGGTGTGTGTGGTGTGTGTGGTATGTGTGTTGTGTTGTGTGTGTGTGTGTGTGTGTGGTGTGTGTGGTGTGTGTGGTGTGTGTGTGGTGTGTGTGGTGTGTGTGTAGTATGTGAGTGTGATGTGTGTGGTGTGTGTGGTGTGTGTGTGTGTGTGTGTGTGTGGTGTGTGTGGTGTGTGTGGTGTGTGTGGTGTGTGTGGTGTGTGTGTGGTGTGTGTGGTGTGTGTGTGGTGTGTGTGAGTGAGTGTGATGTGTGTGGTGTGTGTGTGAGTGTGTGGTGTGTGTGGTGTGTGTGTGGTGTGTGTGTGGTGTGTGTGGTGTGTGTGGTATGTGTGTTGTGTTGTGTGTGTGTGTGTGTGTGTGGTGTGTGTGGTGTGTGTGGTGTGTGTGTGGTGTGTGTGGTGTGTGTGTAGTATGTGAGTGTGATGTGTGTGGTGTGTGTGGTGTGTGTGTGTGTGTGTGTGTGTGGTGTGTGTGGTGTGTGTGGTGTGTGTGGTGTGTGTGGTGTGTGTGTGGTGTGTGTGGTGTGTGTGTGGTGTGTGTGAGTGAGTGTGATGTGTGTGGTGTGTGTGTGAGTGTGTGGTGTGTGTGGTGTGTGTGTGGTGTGTGTGGTGTGTGTGGTATGTGTGTTGTGTGGTGTGTGTGTGGTGTGTGTGTGGTGTGTGTGTGTGGTGTGTGTGGTGTGTGTGGTGTGTGTGATGTGTGTGGTGTGTGTGTGGTGTGTGTGTGTGGTATGTGTGTTGTGTGGTGTGTGGTGTGTGTGTGTGTGAGTGTGAGTGTGTGTGTGTGTGTGGTGTGTGTGGTGTGTGTGGTGTGTGGTGTGTGTGTGTGGTGTGTGTGGTGTGTGTGTATGTGAGTGTGAGTGTGTGTGTGTGTGTGTGTGTGGTGTGTGGTGTGTGTGTGGTGTGTGTGTGGTGAGTGTGTGGTGTGTGTGTGGTGTGTGTGTGTGGTGTGTGTGGTGTGTGTGGTGTGTGTGATGTGTGTGGTGTGTGTGTGTGTGTGTGTGTGTGGTGTGTGGTGTGTGTGTGGTGTGTGTGTGGTGAGTGTGTGGTGTGTGTGTGTGTGGTGTGTGTGGTGTGTGTGGTGTGTGTGGTGTGTGTGGTGTGTGGTGTGTGGTGTGTGTGTGGTGTGTGTGGTGTGTGTGGTGTCTGTGGTGTGTGTGGTGTGTGTGGTGTGTGTGGTGTGTGTGTGGTGTGTGTGTGTGTGGTATGTGTGTTGTGTGGTGTGTGAGTGTGTGGTGTGTGTGGTGTGTGTGGTGTGTGTGGTGTGTGTGGTGTGTGTGTGGTGTGTGTGTGGTATGTGTGTGTGTGTGTTGTGTGGTGTGTGTGGTGTGTGTGTGGTGTGTGTGTGGTGTGTGTGGTGTGTGTGGTGTGTGTGTATTTGTGTGTGTGGTGTGTGTGTGGTGTGTGTGTGTGGTATGTGTGTGTGTGGTGTGTGTGTGGTGTGTGTGGTGTGTGTGGTGTGTGTGTGGTGTGTGTGTGGTGTGTGTGGTGTGTGTGGTGTGTGTAGTATGTGAGTGTGATGTGTGTTGTGTGGTGTGTGGTGTGTGTGGTGTGTGAGTGGCAGGGACCCTGTGGCCCTGCTTCTGCTCTCCTTCCGCCGGGGCCTGAGCCGGGGCGGCCTGGGGTCTGGGGCTGAGGCCGGAGCGCGTAGGGACCCTCCCCGCGGGGGCAGCCCGCCGGACGGCAGAGGGGCCTCAGGCTCCCGACGCAGGGCTGCCTGGCCGAGTGTGGGCACCCGGGACGTGGAAAGGGGGCTCTGGGTCCCCAGCGCCCTCTCCGCGCTGGGTGATGGGGAGCCTGGCTGTCGGAGCCCAGGGCCTCCTCTGTGACAGGGGTGACCTCTCCTGGGGGGGGGGGGGGGGAAGCTGGGGTCCAGCCCCCCCGACAGGGCTCTGCCTGACCGTTTACCACACGGCGAACCAGCATTTCCTGGGCACGCTCCTCCCTCCCCTGCCCTCCCCTCCCCGGCCCTCCCCTGCCCTGCCCTCCCTTTCCCTTCCCTGTTCTTCCCCTCTCTCCCTCCCCTCCCCTCCCCTCCCCTCCCATCCCCTCCCCTCCCCTCCCTTTTCCTCCCCTCTCCTCCCCTTCCCTCCCCTCCCCTCCGTCCCCTCCTCTGAAAACACCTCAGTTGAGAAACCCCACAGGACTGAGGCCTGGAGATCCGGATGGGGACTCACTCCGCAGGGGGACTCCGCAGGGGGACTCGCAGGGCCGCTGTGCGGGGAAGGCCGCCCTGCCTGCAGAGCAGGGGGCAGAGCCGGAGCCTCCGGGCGGGAGGAGGGACTGACATCGGAGGGGCCTCCCCGGGGTGCGTTTGTCCTCTGCTGGGGGTCCGTTTCACAGAGACTTCCCAAGCCAAAAGGAAAGCGCTCACAGATTGGATATAGGTCCGGTCAGACGGCGGGGGCGGGGCGGGCCGGGCTGTGCGGTTGGAGAGCCAGCTGGCTGCGCCCGCTCAGGCCCGTGTGCAGGCGGACCAGGCAGCGGGAGCCCGCAGGCAGGGCCGGGCGCGGCAGGCCATGGCGACGGGCCCAGTCCGCCTGCCCTGCTCCCCGCGGACGCGTGGCCGGTGAGGACAGTCCGAGAACCCAGCTGGCCACGCTGGTCCCGTGTCCGCCGCCCCGGCCACCAGGCCCACAGGGGGGAGAGCCCTGAGCCCCCCCTTCCTGTCTTCTGTGCCAACGGTGCCCACCTTGCCCTCGCCTTGTTCCCGGGGTCTGGCCTGCACGGCTGGGCGCACCCACCCGCTCCCACGGGTGCCCGAAGGGGGACGCACTCTGAGGCCCCTCCTCGGGGAGACGGGCATCTGTTCTTAGCAAAGCCGCCGTGACTGTGCCCGAGCGGCTCCGGGAAGGAGGTCAGCGGCCTCTCACCCGTCACCAGCGAGGGGAGGGGCTTAGGCGAGGGTGGCAGGCCGAGCTGGTGGGAGCCCGGCTCAGCAAGGGGCGTCCCTGCCGGGGGGGGGGGGCTTCCTCAGAGCCCCGGGGCCGGTTCTCCGTTCGGGGGGAGGAGCCCATCCTGCCTGGACTGGGCCGCCGCGGCCGGGCCCTGCGAAGCAGGTGCCGTTACCCCCTTTACAGAGGAGGAGGAGGAGGAGGAGGAGGAGGAGGAGGGGGAGGAGGAGGAGAGCAGGGCAGGCTCTGGCACCCCCACAGCACACCCTGCCTGTGAGGGCCTTCCAGGCCAGAGACACACGGGCCAGCAGCAAGCCTGTCCCAGCGAAGCCTCCGTGGAGGGCGTGGCCGGTCTCCCTGCTGCGGAGCGTCCCCTGTCGTCCTCCCCACACGCACAGGGCTGCGACCCACCCGCCATGATCCCGCCCGCCGTGACCCCGTCCCCCGTGACCCCGTCCGCCGTGACCCCGTCCCCCATGACCCCGCCCGCTGTTACCCCGTCCCCCGTGACCCCGCCCGCCGTGACCCCGTCCGCCGTGACCCTGTCCCCCGTGACCCCGCCCGCCGTGACCCTGTCCCCGCACAGAACGGTGGCCCCGTCCCGATGGCCGGCCCACGGAAGGGACCCCGTGCCCGGGCCGGCGGGGGGCGGGGGCGGAGGACACTCACGGGCTGGCAGTGGGTGGGCTTCCCGTCCAGGTCCTCGGGGGGCGGCCGCAGGCGGGCCCAGTCGCGGCCCTTGTTGTAGGTGATGAGCGTCCTCACCTTCCCGTTGGCCTTCTGGTTCGCCAGGAACACGCCCTTCACCCCGTGGACCTGGGACAGACACCCCTTCACCCTGTGTCCCCTGGGACAGACACCCTTCACCCTGTGCCCCTGGGACACACACCCCTCCCCCCGTGCCCCTGGGACAGACACCCTTCCCCCGTGCCCCTGGGACACACACCCCCCCCCCGTGGACCTGGGACAGACACCCTTCACCCTGTGCCCCTGGGACACACACCCCTCCCCCCGTGCCCCTGGGACACACACCCTTCACCCTGTGCCCCTGGGACAGACACCCTTCACCCCGTGCCTCTGGGACACACACCCCTCCCCCATGCCCCTGGGACACACACCCCTCCCCCGTGCCCCTGGGACACACACCCCTCCCCCCGTGCCCCTGGGACACACATCCCTCCCCCCGTGCCCCTGGGACAGACACCCTTCACCCTGTTCCCCTGGGACACAGACCCTCTCCCCCCCTGCCCCTGGGACCCCCTCCCATGCCTGGGACGGAGGGTCAGCGGGAAGGGCAGGCAGGGCCGGCCCACCTCCAGCACGTCCACCAGCACGCCCCCCTCAGCCTGCCGGGAGCTGCGCACGTCCTCCAGCACCAGCGCGTAGAGCACACCGCGCGGGTCCGACAGGTACAGGTTGTAGGTGTCCGTCTGGTACCACTCCTGCACCGCCACCAGCACCTGGCTGCCGTCCGTGCTGACCACCTGCAGGTCCTGGGGCCGGAGAGCACGGTCAGAGGCCACGGGGGCGGGGGAGGCCCACCTGTGGCCTCCACGTTCCCACCGTAAAAACGGGCTGCCAGCCTGGCCCTCCGCAGGGGCCGCAGCAGGGGGACCGGCCCGGGGGGGCCTTGAGGCCTGCTGCCTGCCCGGCCAGGCCGTGTGCCCATCTGTCCCTGCAGGAGAGGCAGCAGCCCGGGGTCGGGTCCCAGCGCCAGGGCCAGGGAGGAGTCTGGTGCCCACATAACCCAGCGGCCGGCAGGCTGCGCTCTGGAGATATATGAGGCTCATGAGCCGCTGCTGGCCGCTCTGTTGACTAATGAGTTTGCTGAACACTGACCTAGACTCTCGATGCCAATAATTACAGGCTGTGGTTGTTCCTTGGGATTAAGCCCCTATCCCAGTGGTCGGCAAACTCATTAGTCCACAGAGCCAAGTATCAACAGGACAACGATTGAAATTTCTTTGGAGAGCCAATTTTTTTAAGCTTACACTTCTTCTCACGCCACTTTTCCAAAACAGACTCGCCCGGGCCGTGGTGTTTTGTGGAAGAGCCACCCTCAAGGGGCCAAAGAGCTGCATGTGGCTCGCGAGCCGCAGTGTGCCGACCACGGCCCTAAGTGAAACCACGACTTTCCCATTTCTGACTCAGGCAGGGTCTGAGGAGCTCGTGTCCTCCGACTTCACAGCAATCAGCGCCGAGGCTGGCAGGACCCGGAGCCCGTCTCCGCTCGCCACTGCACTCCTGTCCTCCAGCCAGGCTCTCCCTGCCCCAGGGCCTTTGCACGTGCTCTGCCTGCCACCGAACAGCCACCCCCTCCTCCTTTGGGCTCCAGGTGAAATGTCCCCTCAGGGACCCTCCATCCTCTGCCTCTGCCTCTCACTCCCTTCACAACACAAACCACGACTTGGCGATGATTTTACTCATCTGCCTGCAGCTTGGTTTCCTGCCTCTCTCCTCTGGAAACGCCTTCAGAGCAGGACCGGGGGGAGGGGGGCGGCGGGGAGGGGGGGTCTGGGTCACAGCGGCTGGCGGCAGCAGCTCCCGGCCTGCACCTGCCCAGGGAGCATGTGTGGGAGGCAGGTTGCAAGCACCCCGAGTGTCTACGTTTGCACACAGGGTGGAGAGCTGCGAGGGGCCAGGCCACGCGGCGGCCTCTGGAGGGAGAGGGGCGGGAGGCAGGCTTCAGGCCCACCCAGGCCGGGGTTGGTGCCCCGCTTTGGTTCCTCACTGGCTGTGTGACCTCAGCCAGGCTGCTCAGCCTCTCTGGACATCCATCTCCTCCCCTACAAGACGGGAATCCCGTGTCTGCAGGGTGTGGCTGTGGAGCTCAGGCCTCAGGTTAGGCGGGCAGCAGGGCCTGGGCGCCCCCAGCTCCCCGTGTCTGTCTGTCTGGCGAGGGGAAGGGAGCAGCACTCATTGAGCACCTGCTGTGCCAGGCACCGCACCAGGCAGAGGAAAGCAGAGGCTGATAAGCAGAAGCTGGGCCCGAACGCCAGCTGAGAGCAGGAGAGGGTGGGGTGGAGGAGGAGAGGGAGGCCAGGCCAGCCTGGAGGCTCAGTGGTGAGTGCCTTTCTCTTAAACAGCACATGGGCGGGCGGAGCTCTGGGGAGAGACCGGCTGGCAGAGGCAGGAGCACGGCAGAGGCCCTGAGACGGCAGGAAGCTGGGCATGCGGGAGGCTGGTGCGGGGCGGAAGGGAGCTGAGCTGGAGGAAGCACGACCACAGGGCCCTGTCCATCCTGGCCCGGGGTCCCCACACACCCGTGTGAGAGCCTGTGCCCACACTGAGTGCAGCCACGGGGTGACAGGAGGGCGGGGCAGCCTCTCACCTTCGGCAACGCGTACTTCGGCAGCTTCATCAGGGCAAACTCGTTTTGACGATAAGACACGTAGTATTTGGTCTGGTTGCTGGATGTTGCCTAACAGGAGAGAGGGGGTTTTGAGGGGTTCAGTTCCCTTCCAGCCAGATCCTCACGAATTAAAAACCACGCTTTGTATTCAGCGCACACACACACACACACACACACACACACACACACACAGCCCTTTTGCTTTGCTTGTACCTGCTCTGCCTGAAATAGACAAACTCCTATTCATCCTTCAAAGCCCCATACCAAACGCCCCTCCTCTGAGAAGTCTTCCCCCACCTCCTTCAGTTAGAACGACTCTTTCCTCCTCCCCGTTTCCCTGCAGCTGCGTTATGGAATAAGGTGGAATGGTTTATCCCAGGAAGGCCAGCGCCCTGGCCTGGGGATCGGCTTTGTGGGACTGGTGAGGTGGTGCCTCAGCCACAGCCACAGCCACAGTCACAGCCGCAGCCACAGCCGCAGCCGCAGCCACAGGGAAACTGAATTAGTGGCACTTGAAAATCACGACCTGAGCTGCACTCACTGTGGGCACAGGCTCTTCCTCCAGCTCCGCTCCCTCCCACCCCGTGCCAGACTGCCTCCTGCCAGGTGCCTGCATTCCCCCTTACCTCCCGCCCCTGCTGCCCGCTCCCTGCCCGCGCCCTGCCCGCGCCCGGGCGCCCGGAGCCGCACCTTAAAGAACACAAACTGGTCCTGCAAGAGCAGAGACCGGTGGTCGATGGGGCCGGCGAACGGCGAGCTCAGCCTCCTGCTGGAGCAGTTGTGGACATGGGCGGCCATGTAGCGGGTCCCTGTGGGGGAGGGCCGTGGGCGGCTGACCTCTATCCGGTCGCCCCGACACTGAAGGCTGGGCCGTCCTGGCCGTCTGCCCGCGGGTGCCCCGGGGGTTGCTGTGGGCGGGCATTGTCAGGGACCTGCCCGTGGCCACAGCCACTGCTGCGTGGGGGTGTGGGCTCTGGGCCCCGCGCCCTTTCCCCTCTGGAAGCTGTCGCTGGTCCCTCTTACAGGTGAGGAGCCGGGGGCCGAGGAGAGGGCAGGTGAGTCTAAAGCACGGCCACCGGGCTGCCACCATTCCCTAAGGCAAGGCCACGCCGGTGTCGCCGATGGCTGCTTTCAGAGCGGCACAGCCCTCGGTGGCAGCGACCACGTGGCCCGCCGCTGAGTCACCAGCCAGCCTGACGGGGAACCGGTGGCCGGGTCCCAGCCCAGCAGGCGAGCGCCGGGACCTGAGCGCAGGGTGGCCACACTGCCCGCGTCCAAGCCCTGAGCACAGGGTGGCCACACCTGCTCGCATCCAAGCCCTGAGCGCAGGGTGGCCACACCTGCTCGCGTCCAAGCCCTGAGCGCAGGGTGGCCACACTGCCCGCGTCCATGCCCCTCCCTCCCACCCCGGTGCCGCACTCCACGGCCTCAGGAGTGCGGGTCCGGCCACTCAGCGGCACTCAGGCCCACAGCCAGCCGCCCTGTGCCAATGCCACGGCCTCCCGACCCGCCACGGCCCCTCGCAGCGGCCTCACCACGCCCTGCGGCCAACACTGCCTGGCCTGCCATGGCCTGCCTGGCTGCACACGTGGTGGGGACCGGCCTATGTCAGGCCTAAAGGTGGCAAGTCACTCACTCACTTACCTGTTAACTCACTCTCTCATTCATTCACTCATTCACTCACCTGTTAACTCACCCACTCACTCACTTATTCACTCACTTACCTGTTAACTCACTCACTCATTCACTCACTCACTCATTCACTCGCCTGTTAACTCACCCACTCACTTATTCACTCACTCATTCACTCACTCACTCACTTATTCACTCACTCATTCACTCACTCACTCACTTATTCACTCACTCATTCACTCACTCACTCATTCACTCACTCACTCATTCACTCAATCACTCGCTCATTCATTCACTTACCTGTTCACTCACTCACTCATTCACTCACTCACCTGTTAACTCACTCACTCACTCATTCACTCAATCACTCATTCACTCACTTACCTGTTAACTCACCCACTCACTCAATCACTCATTCACTCACTTACCTGTTAACTCACCCACTCACTCAATCACTCATTCACTCACCTGTTAACTCACCCACTCACTCACTCACTCACTCACCCACTCACTCATTCATTCACTTACGTGTTAACTCTCTCACTCACTCTCTCACTCATTTACTTACCTGTTAACTCACTCACCCACTCATTTACTCAATCACTCACCCACTCTCCCGCTCACTCTCTCATTCTCTCACTCCCTCTCTCTCTCATTCACTGACTGTCTCACGGTGGTGAGGCCCGTGTTCCAGGCCTGGTGAACGCCAGGCTCGTGGCGCCGAGGGGCTGTACAGCGGGAAAAGGCTGGTTCACGGTGCAGCACACACGCAGAGCTGGCCGTGCGGCCCATGGAGGAGGGCGCTCCGGGGACGGCGCGGGGACCACGGCTGGCCGGCGGGCTCACCTCCTGCGGGGTCCTGGGCCTCCATGTGGACCAGGTCTGCGCCGGCGCCCGCTCCAGACTCAGCCCTGGAAAGAGGGGCTCAGGTTGGCACTGGGAATGGGGTCCCCAAGACTGACCAGGTGCCGGTGTCAGCGTCCCGCCCCCTGTAGCCACGTGGCCTTCCAAGCTGGAGACCATCCCGCTGTGGGCAGGAGGCCGGTCCTCCCCAAGGCGCCACGGCTCGGGGTGCGCCTGGCAGGGCCGTCTTCTGAGCGTCCTACTGCATCGTCTCCACAGGAGACGTCCCTTAGACGTTCCCATGGTATATGTGCATGTGCACATGTGTGTGCACGTGTGCGTGTGTGTGCATGTGTGTCTGTGTGTGAGTGTGTGTGTGTGTGTGTGTGTGTGTGTTTGGGGGGCATTTTTTTTTTTTTTTATCAAAATGAACTGGAAGCCAGGGGCAGGCCTGGGCTCTCGCCCTCAGTGTGCAGATTAGGAAACGGAGGCTCAGAGAGCAGAGCGCGGGCCTGAGGGTGCACGGCCGTCAGAGGCAGAGGCGGGCTTCCCTGCAGGCTCTCCCTCACCCGGGGCTCCTGCCCCCCGCCTCCCAGTGCGTCCTGGGCAGTCACTGGTCCCCCTGCTGCTCCCCACCTTCCCCAACGGCGATAGTGGCCAGGGGCTCAAGCACACGGCGGGCATGTGCCTGGAGCCCAGCGGGCACCGTGGCTGTGGAGGGGGTGCCCGGGGCCCGTGGGGGCCCAGCGCCCAGGGGGTCCCCACGTCGCCCTCCAGGGCCCCAGGAGGCCACTCTGAGGCGCTCACTGTGTGCATCTCAGAACAGCCGGGAGCCGAGTGTCAGGCACACGGGCCTCGGCCAGCCCACCGCCCGCTCGGGGTGCAGAGTGCCCGCTGTCAGCACATCCACCGCTGCCCACACCCATCGCTGCCGCCCCTGCATCCCGGGGACCGGCCGTGGGCAGCATCCGGTGGTTATCGCTCACGCACAACAACGGGGGGGGGATCTGTGGGGCTCAGGGGGAGAGCAGTGTGGTCACAGCGCCTGCCTGAGGCTGGTTTGCTGGCAGGACTGACCTGCGGGTGCTTCTCTGGGGCCGAGGGGTCTCTGTGAGCCGGACGCCTCCCCCATCCAGGCCGCCTCCCTCAGAGTCCCACGCTTCGCCCTCCCAGCCTGGCAGCCCTGGGGCCAGCAGCTGGCTCAGCGACAGGCCAATGATGGATGGCAGAGCTACGGTTTCCAAGGAGGGAACGAGCCCTCCGTGGGCAGCCCCAGAGAGGGCATCGCTTCCGCCCCCAAGAAAGGCCCGGCCCGGAGCCCGACGGGAACAAAGCGGCTCAGCAGACCGGCTCCCCGCCGGCTGCCTCCAGTGTGTGTGGAGCGAGAGCGGGCAGGGAGCTGCTCCTGTGTGTGCACATGTGTGTGCGTGTATGTGCGTGTGCGTCCCCAGAGGCCGTTGCACAGAACAGGCGGGCGGGAGCGCGGGCTCTGAGCGCCGTGGCCTCGCTGCCCGGCCTCGGGGTGCTTGTCCTCCGTGGGCCTCGCACCCTCACCGGACACAGGCCTCCGGGGCCCGGGCCTGGCTGAGACCAGACCACCTCCCACGGAGCACAGCCCGGTGCCAGCCCGCCCCCAGCTACGGGCCAAGAGCAAGTGTGGCCGAGGACGCCAGCCCCAGCCTCCCCCTCCTGCCTCACCCAGCACAGCCCAGGGGCCCCGGAGGCCCAGAGGGTGAGGCCGGGCAGGGCTGGGACAGCGCAGGAGCAGGACACTCGGAGCGGGGCGGGGAGGGCCCGCGGGCCCACGCTCCCTCTGCAGGGTGCTCACCAGAACACGTGGTCCTTGGTCACCTGCTCGTGCAGCAGCAGCCACTTGCTCCCCAGGTCACAGGACACGTAGAGCTGGGAGGAGAGAGGGACAGCCTGGTCAGGAGGAGCCTCTCCTGAGCCGCCCCTGCTCCCGGGACCTCTCACCTGCCCTCCCGACCAGAGGCCCACTGGAGGAGGCAGGAGGAGGCGGGGCGGGGGTTCCTGGGGCCCCATCCAGTCCTATGTCCCGCTTCTCCGCAAAGCCCAGCAGCCTGCTCACCTGTCAGCACGCCTACCCCCCTCACCTTCACTACACCTAGCCAGCCCTCCCTGCCGCCACCCTTTCCTGTAACGCCCTGTGGTCTCTGTGACTGCCCACCCCTGCCCTTGGCACAGGAGAGCAGCCGGGACAGCACACCACTGGGAGGCCTGTGCCAATAAAACTTTATTCACAAAGCAGGTGGCAGGCCACTGTCTCCTGACACTTGTCCAGGGTCCGTGATCAGAAATGATCATCTCTGATATGGAGAAAGGGTTTTTAAAAATATGTGTTTTTATTGATTTCAGAGAGGAAGGGAGAGGGAGAAACATCAATGATAAGAGTCATGGAAGGGCTGCCTCCTGCAGGCCCCACACTGGGGATTGAGCCTGTAACTCGGGCATGTGCCCTTGGCCGGAATCGAACCTGGGACCTTTCAGTCCGCAGGCCGACACTCTGTCCACTGAGCCACACCGGCCAGGGCTGAGGAAGGCTTTGGGGAGCTCCCCTCCCTGGAACACAGCATCGGGGGGCAGGAACTCGGTGCCCTGTCAGCCGGCCAAGGTGGTCAGTGCTCCGTGAACACAGTGGTTGGACTGGGTTTGCAGCGGGAGAGCCTGGCAGCGGCGTGGCCTCCCATGGAGCCTGGACAGAGCTCAAGGCTTGTCCAACGCCACTTCACTCCACACGCACACGCACACACACGCACACACGTACACACACATGCGCGCATGCACACACACACACGCACACGCACACGCACGCGCGCTCACCTGGCCCTCCTTGGTGCAGGCCAGCACCTTGTCCTCGTCCTTGGGGTGGAAGAGGAGCTTGTCCACGGTGAAGGGCAGGAGCTGCTTCTGGAAGGTGGTGGCCTCGTCCGTGCTCAGGAACAGGTTCTGCTCCCCGCTGCTGAGCGAGGAGCTGAGGAAGAGGATCTGAAACAGGCGGGCAGAGGGGACCACGCTCGGATGCCCACTTCCCGTTCCGTGCCTCAGCTTCCTGGTCTGCCAAGCGGGGACACACACGGGCCCGGCCCTGGGGAACCTCAGTGGCAGCCTAACATGTCTCCCGGCATCTGGGACAGGCCTGCCGTGGGCCCGGCCTGGTAGAGACACAGATGCACGAATGAACGAATCAATGAAAAAACGAATGAATGAATGAATGAATGAACAAATGAATGAGTAGCTCCACCTCAGCTGCGACTCCGAAGGGGCCTGCTTGCTTTTCTCCTTTGGGAGGAAACACTCTGGGCACGAGAGTAACTCGCTGCAGAAATCGTTTAAAAGTCCCTCGCTCCTGCCTCTTCACTGCCCACGTGTCACACCACAGGAGGCCCCAGGGCAGGTCTGCGGGCAAGAAGGAGCGCTTCCCGCAGGAGGTGACGCCGAGGAGCCTTGAAGAATGGATGGTCGGCCGACGGGAGGCTGTTCCAGACCAAGGCCCTGCCCTGCCTCTCGCTCAGCGTCACCGCTCCCTCCCACACGCCTGGGCGCCAGCCACCTCAGCCCCCCGGTGTGTGCCTCCAGTCCCGAGACCGTTCACACACCCAGAATGCACAGCGGGACCAAGACACCTCCACGCTCACCACTGCTACTTCAGAAAACAGGTCTTCAGATTTCAAAACCACAAACCCATGTGTGATAAAATTAAAATACTTTCTTTCAAACTTTCTGAGCCCCAAACGCTAGGCAACTGCAACAAAGCTGAACGTTTCTCATTTCTTTCGGGTGCCCCTCCCCAAAGCGTGAGTGTAGCTTATTTTTATGATAGAGACACCTTTCACCTTGTTATCGGATTGCCAAGTACCTCCTCGTGCACCAAAGCTCAAAGGTCACCTCCTCCAGGAAGCCCTCCGTGATACGTTATTCTGAGACACACACACACACACACACACACACACACACACACACACACGCTCTTTCCCCAGCACCTGTGCATTCATTCGGCCCAGCCCAACGTTCCCTCGGGGCCGGAGGCTGTGCAGCCTGGCGAGGCCCAGGTGTCTGTCACAGCCACATCTGCCCAGCAGGTGCCCTATCACAATGAGCAGGCACTGGAGCTCCTCCCACGCGGAGCCAGGCCCGGGGCCCGTACCTCCCTGTCACAGCGCCGCCTGGGCTGGAGCCGTGGAGCGCGGCGCCGAGGTGGGAGGGCGCTGGCCTGGACTGGGGCTTCTCATAGGACAAGCAAGCCGGGAAGACGGGGACGGACGACTGACATGCTGACGAGGAGAGGAACCGTAGAGCAAAAACAACTCAGCTCGGCGGCGGCTGGCAGACGGTCCTTCCAAACTGGGACCAGCCTATTTCAATCGCGTGTTTTCACCACGTGCTGTTCCGGGGAGCATATGGCGTCTGCGCTCGATGCTGGGCCTGAGCCGGAGGTTCGAACTCAGAAGCAACATGTGAGCGGAATCGGTCCACAGCTTCACCTGGGGCGTGAGTCCCGGCGGCGACATCACCCGTGGGCCCAGCACCAAGAGTACACGCAGGGCCTGGCGGGGACATCACCCATGGGCCCAGGAACAAGTGCACACGCAGGGCCTGGCGGGGACATCACCCGTGGGCCCAGGAACAAGTGCACACGCAGGGCCCGGCGCGACATCACCCGTGGGCCCAGGATCAAGTGCACATGCAGGGCCCAGCGGGGACATCACCCGTGGGCCCAGTGCCTGCCCATGCCTGCCGTGCCTACCAAGGTTCATCGCCTCCTGGTGGAGGGAGGATCATCCACAGACGGGCCGGGTCTCGGAGCTGCAGGAGCTCAGAGGCAGTGGTGACAGGAATGGGGCACATAGGGCCCGCCGCCCTGAGTGTGGTGTCTCCGTAGTTGTGCACCCTAAAACCTCCCTCACCAGGAGGGAGAACCTGCTGGGATCTGGGGCGCCGGCGCCCACACCCAGGCAGGGGATAATGATCTGCAGGATGGAGGGATACTGAGCACAGCCCCAGGCCCCAGGCCCCAGGCAGGGAGGTCACGCTGCCTGAGCAAAGTGTAGCCACAGCGTTCACACAAGGGGGTCGTGCCGGTGCTGGAGGCACACGGAGCTGGGCTCCTGTCCTCACCAGGCCCCTGAGAAGCTGTGCAGCCTTGGACAAGTTCATTCATGCCTCTGAGCCTCGGGCTGCTTGTGAAGATAGGAATTCCCACGGCAGAGGTCATTAGAAGAGATAAATGAAAAGATGTATATAATGGACCGAGCACAGTCCCTTAGACATCAAACTCCCTGTCCATGACAGCCAGGTTACTGCAGCATTTTTGCTTTGGAAGAGGGAGTCGGCTTCAGCGGAGTTCACTGAGCATTCACCCAGCACCTCTCTGGGCCCTACCTGTGCTGTGATGGAGAGGCACCCGGGCCCAGGGCCCTGGCTCCTCGTGGGAGGAGCTCCAGTGCCTGTTGATTGGGATAGGGCACCTGCTGGCAGGACAAACACCTGGGCCTCGCCAGGCTGCACAGCCTCCGGGCCCGGAGGGAAAGGCAGATTCTTACAGAGAACAATAGGGAACATAGGGGTGAACCAAATGAATGCACAGGTGCTGGGGAAAGAGCAGGGGAGAGGCCTGAAAAACATGTATCACGGAGGGCTTCCTGGAGGAGGTAACACATATCACTGCCCTCTGCCGCCAAGCTCACGCTGAAATGAGCTTTGGTGCACGAGGAGGTTCTGAACAACCGGTAACAAGGGGAGCAAAGCCCATCCAATGACAGTAGGATCTGCGATAGAAAACCCAAACATGGGACTTTCGGGGAAAGAAGGAGGGACCCCCTTCAGAATGTTCTGGTCACACTGAGCTCTGCCATGACCGGCTTCTGCTCAGCTTTGGAGGCCTGGCAAGGGCGACACCTCCTCCGGGGAGCCCCCAGCCCCTGGCCAGGCTGCGGGGGAGGCGAGGGAGGCTTTGGGGTGCCAACGAGGGAGACACCACACTCAGGGGCGGCGGGCCATATGCACCCCGTCCCTGTCACCACTGCCTCTGAGCCGCCTCAGCTCCGGGACCCGCCCGCCTGTGGGTGATCCTCCCTCCGCCAGGAGGCGATGCACCTTGGTCAGCAACGGCAGGCATGGGCAGTGCCGGCCTGCCACCGGCAATGGGCACCGAGGAGGGTCCGAAGCGTAGGGCAGGGCTCTAGCACCCGGCCCACCCTGGCCTGGAGGGACCCGGGCGTCCTCTGCCCTCTGCCGCCACCACAGCGCTCGCTGGCTGCCCGGCCGCTCTGTGGCCCGCTGCCGGTGTCCCGGCAGGAGCTGCAGTGGTGCCCCTGCCCCCTGCCCCCTCACCTGGCAAGCTCACTCTCCTGGGCCGGGGCTCCCACCACCCCCTGCCCCAGGCGGTGCCGTCCCAGCAGCCTCACAGCCGCCAGAACCCCCTCTCCCCCCACCATGCTGCCCGGGTTCCCATTCGGACCTCTCCCCGCTCAGCGCAGCCTCGGTTCCCTCTCAGACCCTCCGCCAGGGAGGGCTGGTTTAGTTTAGTTTAGTTTAGTCTCCCAAGGCCCCAGCCCCGGATGGCGTCGCTGAGTAATGCGGCTATTTAAACCCACCGCTGTCTATTCCCGGCTGCACAGACGTGCCAGCTGCGGCACAGACGCTCGCTCTGACGCACGGAGAGGCAGACGGGGAGACAGACAGACCAGCGGCGCCCGCCCCCGGGTCCTGGATTAGAACCGGCGCGGAGTCCGCCCCTGCGGCGCCCGTGAGTCACGGCGAGCAGACAGCGCCCGCACCCGCTCCCTCGCCCGGCGGGGTGGGCAGCACGCGCTGGGCCCAGGGGAACCCGCTCCGAGTCACAGCTCTGGGCGGAGTGACCGCGGGCACAGGAGGCACAGGACTGAGTGAGTGAGAGGCGCCTGGCAGCCCCTGGCCCGTGGCCTCGGCAAGCCTGTCCTCACCTGGAGGCACCCTGTCCTGAGCTGAGTTCACGTGTGAAACCCCAGCACAACACGGGGTCCTTGTGCTTTCTTAACCAGCACAGGAGCCACCGCCACGGCAGCCACCACGGCAGCCACCACAGCAGCCACCACAGGGGCCACCACAGCAGCCACCACAGCAGCCACCACAGCAGCCACCCCGGGAGCCACCACCACAGCAGCCACCACAGCAGCCACCACAGGGGCCACCATAGGAGCCACCACAGCAGCCACCACAGCAGCCACCACAGGAGCCACCACGGCAGCCACCACAGCAGCCACCACAGCAGCCACCACAGCAGCCACCACAGCAGCCACCATCACAGCAGCCACCACAGCAGCCACCACAGCAGCCACCACAGCAGCCACCACAGCAATAGTCCCAATCCCCTGTCCAGCTCCTCGCCGTTGATGTGGAGGGGGGACAGCAGCTGACCTCCTGGGGCCGCGGTGGCTCAGTGTCTGAGAGCAGCTCGGTGGGGCGGGGGCATTGCAGGCAGCCTGGGAGCCTGGCACAGCACCCACCACGCTGAGCTCTCCGGCAGAAAGTGCCTCCAAACGTACCCCGAGAGAACATAACTTCCACGCGGCTGGTTTTAAACCGAGTCATCCCGTGGTTTACGGCCCGTTACCGCTCTGTAAGCGGTGAGCAGGAAGCGCGTCCCGTAGAGCCGGCCGCTCTGCCTGGGACGGCGGCGGCGGTGGGTTTACAACAGGCCGAGGGCTCCCCACCCCCCCACAGACGGCTGCCCCGGCGCCCAGTGCTGGGAGGGTGCTGGCGGGGACCGGGACTGACGGGAAAGGTGGCACGCAGCTAGGAGGGCACGGGGCCCATGGGTTTGGCTGTGTATGCATGCATGCGTGCATGTGTGTCATGGGTGTGCATGTATGTAAGTAGTGTGCGTGTGTGTGTGTGTGTGTGTGTGTAGGTGAGGCATGGCTCCCGGTCTGGAGGGCGGTGTATGGATGGGGGAATGGGTAGGAGGTGGGTGGATGGATGGGGGATAGGTAGGGGGGTGGGTGGAT